TTATAAAATTTAAAAGATTAGGATTTTTTTCTCTGCAATGATGTAAAAGATAAATTTATCACTGATAATAATAGCTATCATTTAATAATGACTAATTTTTATTTCATTTAAATATGTGATAAATTCTATTCTCTTATGTTTATAAAGGAGAAATATCATATCAATGATAATGATTATTCATTGAAAGAAATATTTTATTAAATTACTATTATTATTTTTCCTATTAATTGAATCTATCTTCCCTAACATTTTATCTTTTGATTAAATTTAAATTTACCTTTTTACCTAAAATTTATTTTTTTCAAATTTCAACAGAAAAAATCGTAGAAAATAAAACGGAAATTAAAACGGACATTATTTACGGCAACTATTATATTGTATTGTAAAACGGAAAGTGAAGTTTATTTGTTTATTATTTACTTTATTTACTTATTTATTTATAATTATAAATTATTAACTTCGTTTGATTCGTTTCTTCGTTATTTGATTTAGTTATTTGATTTTAATTTGATCTATTGTTTAATTTTGATTTGATTTATTTGTTTGATTTAATTTTGCTAAATTATTTATCGAATTTACATTTGTTATTTGATTTGGTTATTTGATTTGATTTGATCTACTGTTTGATTTTGATTTGATTTATTTGTTTGATTTAATTTTGCTAAATTATTTATCGAATTTATAATTTAGATGAAATACCTTTATTGCAATGATAAGGTGAACTTCTTCCTCAAATTTTTTGTTTTCTTACCTTTGCTTTTGCTTTTCGCTTTTCGCTTTCTACCCGTTTTTTTTCCGTTTTTTATCTTCCTTTTCAGGTTTTTTTATTATTCGGCGCGGAATGATTGTGAACAGACTAAAAAGGATCATATATGTTATCCTACCAAATAATAAATGAATAATAATACTTTACATAGCTAACCGCCACCGGTCGATTATCGGATATGCATTTTTTTCCTTCTTCTTTGCTATATTTTCTTATCGTCTAATAAGTTAAAGGCTAGATTAGTTTAGACTAAATTAATGTAATATAAAAGTTTCCTTTTAATTTTGCTTTGTAATAAATTTTAATGATTATTTAACCGTAATTAATTAATTAGTTTAAGTTATACATTCAACGTTAACTATAATTAGTTATGTTAAGTAACAACGAGTATTATCATATTTGTCTAATAAAGAAAATTATATTAATTAAAATAATTTATTGCGATCTAATATTTTTTTTCTTAATTTTGTTTTATGATAGATTGTAATGGTTATGTAATCATAATTAATTAATTAAATTTATGCATTCAACTTTAACTATAATTAGTTAAGTTAAGTAACGATGAGTATCATCATATTTATTTAATAAAGAAGATTGTATTAGCTAAAATAATTTAATGCGATCTAATATTTTTTTCTAAATTTAGCTTTATGATAGATTATGATAAATATTTAGCTAGAATTAGTTAAGTTTTAATAATGAGTATTATCATATTTTATTTTAATCGATTAAATTAAGCTTAATTAATATATAGCAGATAATAAATGTCATAATTTAATCGATTAAATTATGGTTAACTAATATAGAACAAATAATGTGTAACATATTTTAATCGATTATTTTAATAATATAAGCAATCAATATTTTCTATATTATCAATATTTTTTCAATTATGAATAATCAGCAATACGAGTAATCAATATTACTAATACAAGTAATCAATATTTTCTATATTATCAGCATTTTTAGAATATGAATACTCGATAATATGAGTTATCAATATTTTTAAATTATGAATAATCAATAATACGAGTAATCAATATTAATAATACGAAAAATCAATACTTTCGATTATAAGATGATAATAAAAAGCTATCGTATATTTTCCTATTTCTTTATAGCTAATTTATTTATCAAACGGGAAAAACAATAACAGTGATATTATCAGACAGATCAGCTAAAATCAATGATATTATCAGCTTCAAATAAATCAACTAAAATCGATTTTTTTTCTTTGAATAATTTCAATATTTTAATAATTGGAATAGAAAATAAAATTAAATTTCATCCATTTTATCTTTGTTTTTTGTTTTCCAAAGAGAAAGAGAGAAGTATTTTTAATTTTAAAATTTTTAATGAAATACATATTTTATAATTATACCGTAATTCTTTCTTTTTTGTTATTAATTTTACTCTCTCTCATTTTCTTTTCTTTTCCTTCAAAATCATTCAAATTCAAATTTAATAAATAAATTTTAGGTAATGAAACGATACGTGCAAAAAAACAAAAAAGAAAACTGAAATTTAGAAATTGAAATCGGAAATTGAATTATTAAATTTTAGGCCTAATGGTATCATTTCTTTCTCAATCAAAAATTTCATTGAAATTTTCATCATCTTCCATCACAATCGACTATTTAGAAATTGTCAATTTTAATCATATTCAAAGAGAGGAGAGATTTTGATGTATATGTTCGAATGAATGAAAAATAATTCCAGAGAATTCCCTTTTGTCTTTTGTTGACCTATCTTAAAGCATATTGGCTCTTATAGAAAGCTTATGTCTTCTTTCTTCTTCTTCTTATTGCAAGGAGAAAGAGAGAGAAAGAGAGGGAGAGAGAGAGAAGGTGGAAAGAAAAGAAAAATGGCATAAATGAGGCTTATTGCAGACTTACCTTTTAGTTTCGCTTAGTCAAAAATTTTCTAGATTAGATCAATATAGTAATAATAATTATTATTATTGATATCATTCGATTTATATTATTTATATTATCATTTTAACATTTGGAATGATAATGAATGAGTATGGTAGATCAATATAGTAATAATTATTATTATTGATATCATTGGATTTATTTTATCATTTTAACATTTCAAATGATAATGAATATGAGAGATCAATATAGTAATAATAATTATTATTGATATCATTCGATTTATATTATTTATATTATCATTTTAACATTCGAATGATAATGAATGAGTATGATAGATCAATATAGTAATAATAATTATTATTATTGATATCATTCGATTTATATTATTTATATTACCATTTTAACATTCGAAATGATAATGAATGAGTATGATAGATCAATATAGTAATAATTATTATTATTGATATCATTGGATTTATATTATTTATATTATCATTTTAACATTTGAAGTGATAATGAATGAATGTAATAGATGAATGTAAATGAGAACTGATAGTTCTTTTTCATTTAATTTCATTGAAATATCTTAGTAAATTTTGTTGTTCCGAATAGTTATTCTCAAGGTTAGACTTCATGCTGTGATATCGAAAAAACGTTATTTCCATTTTAACAATTTAACAAATTTACGTTCACATTTGCGCACCGATACAGGTAAAGGAAAAAAAAGAAATACGACGAATGATACCATCAAATATCATTTCCTTTTTTTTTGTAATCTTAAAAAAATTTAATTGTTTACATCTTTTTCTTATTATCATTGATTTTTTTTAGAAATAAATTATTGCATAAATAAACAAGGAGAATGTGAATATATTAAATCGGTAAATAATAATTTGTTATTAATATTTAATAATGAATAAAAATTAATTATTTGTTTTCCTATTATTAATTATATTTAATTCCTGTGGAAGTGAATATAATTCAAATATTATATCGCTAAATAATAGTTAGTTAATAATATTCAATGATGAATAAAAATTAATTGTTTGTTTTCCTATTATTAATTATATTTAATTCCTGTAGAAGTGAATATAATTCAAATATTATATCGCTAAATAATAGTTAGTTAATAATATTCAATGATGAATAAAAATTAATTGTTTGTTTTCTTATTATTATTTACATTTAATTCCTGTAGAAGTGAATATAATTTAAATATTAAATCAATAAATAATAACTAGTGATTAATATTCAATAATTAATAAAAATTAATTATTTGTTTTCCTATTATTAGTTATTTTTAATTCCAATGCATTTATTATTTTTTCTTTTTTTTTTTTTGGATGAAATCCATTTCAAATGCATCACCAATTGTTTTTACTAATTACAATTGTCACATTTCAAACTAACTTTATTATTTATTAAATTAAATTAAATTAGCAACAATTTAATTATCTTTATTATTTACGACATCTATACGTTGATGTATTATATGTTTTTGTGCATTTTAACATAACGATGATACACACATGATATATGTATACTTTTTACGTATCATATTTTTCATATTTTAAATTGACGCGTTATATATATATATATTCGATATTTCTACATTGTTGTTTGCTAGGATTAAATGATATTTTTAAAAATGTTATAAAAATTTATTTAGCATATAATTATGTTAATTGATTATATGGATTGATAGATATTATACAAATCCATCAAACAACAAATTCCATAATTTATTACTAATAAAAAGGAAGACGAAAAACAAAAAGAAAGGTATTTCAACTTTTTATTAATTGTCTAATTAAAAAATTTTGCAAAATTTTATTGACAAAATTTTTTTTGTAAATTTTTGCAAAAATTTTATTGGCAAAATTTATGAATGGAAAATTTGTTTTTTGTTTTTGTTTTTTTGAATTAATGAAAAATAATGTTGAAAAGTTGCGACAAAATTGTGTATAGAAATGGATGACACTTCGCATTATCAATTAAATCCTACTTTGTTTCTCTCTCCTTTTAACAAAATGATTGTTTCTTTTTTTTCCTTTTAATTCTTTAAAAGATAAAATGAAAAAGTTTATTTTCAGGTCATCAAAATTTTTGTGCAATTTGAATTTTGTTTGATAAGAGAGGAAAGAAAAGAAGGAAGACGAACAAAAAAATTAGGAAACAGAAAGATTGGATAGTGTGATTAAAGATATTTATTTAGTTGTTTACGAAATCAATTTTATCGATAACAATAACAATAATAAATAACAACAGCAACAACAACAACAACAAAAACAACAAATAAGTTATAATTACTATTACAACAATTATTGATTAATAGTAATATAACTGTGATATCAATTATGGATGATATATGGATGCAAAATGGTTCAAATCCGAATAAAATATTAATGATGCCATCATCACAGTCACAATTATCATCATCTCAATCAGATTTACATTGGAATATGTATTCTGTATTAAATCCTGGACAAATTTCTGGTAATTTTGGACGTCTTTCGGGAATTACTAGTGTTGGTGGTTCATCATCATATTCACAGCAAACAATTGCTTCCACATCTGCATTATCATCATCATCATCATTATTATCATCAACATCACTATTATCATCATCATCATCTCATCATCATCATCATCAACAGCAACAACAACCACAACAACAGCAGCAACAACAGCAACAACATTCTAATATTCATTCATCAATGATCACAAAACGTTCCAATTCGGCGACATCATCCATTAATGATACTATCAATACAGCATCTTCTACTAGTGCTACTACAACAATTGCTACTGCTCTAAAGAATATGGTAAAAATGGAAAATAAAACGATCGATACAACAGTTCTTGCAAATTCCGTATGTATTATTTATTTATTTATAATTTACTCTTTTTTTTAAATTTGTTTTAATAATTTTTTCATCTTTCTTCAATTTCAGATTTATTTCTTTTGTTTTAATTGTCATTAATTTCTTTTCAATAAAATCTCCTATGTAAAGAAAGATTTTTAACAAATTTCGCTATTCATTTGTTTTTAACTTTTCTTTCTAATTATTACATTGAGGGTAGCATAAAAGAAATAATTTAAATTTAATTTTTCTATTGTTTTTTGTATGAAAATAAAGAAAAAAGAAAGTTTAAAATAATACTAAAAAGAAAAATTAATTATTTTCTAGTATTCTTTTCAATGAAATTAATATAAATTAAAAAATAATTTACCTATCAATTAGTTATCATCCATTTCAAGTAATCGTATTATTATTATTACATTAAATTTAAGTTTCGAAAAAATTTTTAACATTCTCTACTAACTGTCTCATATTTAAACAATTAATAGATGTTGAAAGAATAAAAGAAAATGGAAATATCTGCATACAGTATTTAAATTTTAACAACTTTTATTTATCTCTCTCTTTCTCTCTCTCTTTCTCTCTGGTTTTCTCTTTCTTTTTCAATTGTGTATTTATTTGGCTAATCGTAAATGTTTAAATTTCTGCAATACTATACTCATTTATATACATTTCAATTTTTTTTAATTTTAATTTCTAATTATTTAAATTATTTCATTGTCTTTTTTCCCACATTTTAACCATTTATTTTGCCGATTTACAGTAATCATTCATAAAAAAGTTTATATATATTTATTAGTTTGTAATTAATAAAATTAATTGTAATGCAAAATAATTAAATTAAACTATGATAAATGCCAGTTTATTTTTTAACGCTATTCATTACAATAAATTTTTTATCAAAATTCATTTTGATTGATTAATTAATTATACAAATTTTGAGCATCAATTAGGTATCAGATAATATATAAATTAATCTATAATAAATAAGTAATCAATTGCGATAATTAACTATTATTTTATTATTATCATAAATGGTACAAAATATAATCCTAATCATAAATAAGATATGATAATGATAATTAACTATTATTTTATTAATATCATAAACAAAACAAAATATAATCTTATCATAAGTAAGAGATCATAATGATAATTAATTGTTATTTTCATTATCATCATAAATAATACAAAATATAATCCTAATCATAAATAAGAGGAAATGAAGCAATAGAAAGTGTAAGCATTTTTGTTTGTTTATTTGTTGTTCTGTTATTGTTTGAAATGTATTTTGCTGTCAAATAAAATTAAATAACGAAATTGACGAATGAATGCTATCAGTTAAAGAAGCGTAACAATTTTAGTATATGTTAAAATCTTTTTAACATATCAAATAATGATAATCATTCATTTAATCCATTTCAAATTTTTCATTTCATCATTTATTTTATTCACTAGAATTTCTCGTTGTCTTTCCTTTTTTATTTTTTTGATTAGATGATAAAGTTGATGTGAAATGATTTAATTTAAATTTAACTGATGGAATTATTGTGTAAAGGTGGCATTTATTGTGTTACTTCAAATGAATAATATTAATGACATTGTTGCGAGAAAAATTATTTTTAATTTATTTCCTGTTAATTTGGTTACAATTAATTTTTTTTTCCTTCTCTTTTGTTTTTAAATTTTTTTCATATTTTATTTAAAAGTAGATTTTAAAGAAGAAAGAAACAATGTTCTAATTAATTAACATGGATTATCGATTTATTTTCGTGATAATAGCTATAATGGAAATGATAATGCTGATAATTTGTAATGGCTTTAAAAATTTTGATTAAGAATTGAAAAAGAAATTTTGTTAATTACTAAAAATTTAAATGAATTAAAGTTTGTATATATCGATTAATTGCTAATTACTTAATGAAATTAATGAATGTTTTAAAAAGCTGTAAATAATTTTGTGAAAAGCGCTAAATATATTTGAAAAATATTTTAATGAAAATTATCAAATTTTCCTTTTTTTTTGATGTAAAATGTAACTTTCGAGTATATTTTAAAATTATCATTTCAATCTCTCTCTTTCTCTTTCTCTCTCTCTTTCACTCTCTTTCTTTCCCTCTATTAAAGTTTTAACAAAGAGTAAAGCTTTTTGACATTTTTAGTGCAAGCATATTCAATCATATTATTCTCAAATTCAATTCATCAATTTAGATATGTCATTCTGATAAAGGATTTAGCGCTTTGATAAAGGATTTTAACGCTCTTCGGGAATTATCATCGTAGGGTTTAGCTGGTTAGTTAGTAAGCTAATTTAAGTTAAATTTATAGATGAAATTTTCTCATAACTAAAAGAGTAGTATATTATTGCCAACTACTATTACTATTATTACTACTACTACTACTAATACTACAACTACTACCACTATTTGCTATCCAACAACAACAATAACAATAAAAATAAATTTTATATCCTTCTCTTATAAAATTTCTTTCATCTTCCAAAATAGCTATATTAACCTGATTTATAATCCTATTTTACAAATCCAATTTATCCATCTTATTTTCCTCTCTTCTCTCTCTCTCTCTCTCTCTCTCTCTCTCTCTCTCTGTGCTTCTCCTGAACTATCCCAAATTTCTTTTCTTTCGCTTTTGTTTTTTCATCATATCATTTTAATCAAATTAATCAAAAAATAAATTTGTCACTATTGGCTTAGGAAAGAGACGAATTCGTTATTTGTTTTAATGAAATTAATGTGATGTTTTTTTTTTCTACAATTTATTTTTTCTTTTTTGATTCATTTAAAAATTGGAATGATTAATTGGAATTTGATTGATTAATTGATTGAATTGATTGAAATTGATAATTATCATTTTTTTTTGATAACATTTTTTTCGAGGAAAGAAATATAATCAATTTTTCTTTCCAACCTTTTGTTTCACCTTTATTCATTGCATTTATTAATAAATTATTATAAAGGAAAAAATTTCGGCTGCAACCATTTACTAAAATTATTATTTCATTTTGGATTGATTAAAATTTAAGTTTTAAATTTCAGTAATTAAATTTCAGTTTGTTTGAAAGTTTTAAATTTTAAATTTGCGAAAAATCGGATAGTCCATATTCAATATTCTTTTCATTCAGTATTTTTCCATTCGAAATAGTATTTGTTGAATAATTTCAATTATTATTTTTAATTTCAAAATTTAATCTTTTTCTTTCGTTTTCTTTTCCTATCATCTCTTAATTCGTAATTTTTCAAATATTCTGATCGTATATTTGATATTCCTAAAAAAAAAAATTGTTCTATTCCTTTTAAATATTCTATTCGTATATATTTGATAATTCTACAAAATTATTCTATTCATTCCTTTTAAATATTCTATTCGTATACATTTAATATTCCTACAAAATTATTCTATTCCTATTAAGTATTCTATTCAATTCCTATATTCTGATATTTTTCCTATCTTAAAATTTCATCACTTATACTTTTTTTTCTCTCGAAGATTTTTATCGTATTCAATTTAATTTTTAGATCAAAAAGCGGGAAGAGAGAGAAAGAGAGAGAGAGAGAGAGAGAGGGAGATGGACAGAAAGAGGAAAGAAAGAAGAGGAAGAGAGATTAAAAAAAGAGGAAGAAGAAGAGAATCATAATAGAAAATTAGGACAGAAAAAGAATAAAAAAAAAAATGAAAGGAAACAGAAGTGAAAAAAATGGAAAAAGAGAGAGAGAAAGAGAGAGAGAGAGAGAATTGCCAGGTAAAAGAGAATGATGATTTCAGAATCACAGTATCAGTCATTAATCATTTTTTATTTTCTCTTTTATTATTTCCAGCAAATGCATTTTTACCTATTTTTCGACAATTTTCAATGAGGAACAAAAAAAAAAAATAGGAAATTAAAATAGGAATGAAAAAATGGAATGGACTAAAAATGACATCTATAACAGCACGCTATTTCAACAAATTTTACAATTCACGCGATGAAATATTCATTTCTAACGAAAAAAGAAAAACCGAAAATTCCGTAAATCATACGTTTCTCTCTCTCTCTCTCTCTCTCTGTCTTTCTTTCTTTAAAAATTCAAACCAGTATTATTGAAAATGGTATAAAATTTTTAGTTGAAAAGAAAAATTTAAGCATTTCTTCCCTTTTTTTTTTGTTTTTCTCATTCAATCATTTTTTTTTCATAATCTTTTCTTATCTTTTTTTCTTTTCTATCATTTATTTTTTCATTTCTGTTTTTCTTTCTCTTTCCTATATTTTTATCGTAAATTTTTTGTGAAAAGAAATAAATTTTTGAAATCAATTAAAATTTTCTATTATTAATTAATTTTCGTTCTTTCATGTTAAATCATTTAAAATAAATTTCATTCATTCATTTCTTTTGAATGAATGAAACAATTTATAATTTAGGTTTTCTTTTTTTTGTATGGCATATATTTTACTCTCTTTTTAACTATGAAAATTATTTCTTTCTTTCTTTCTCTCTCTCCTTTTTTGTCTCTCTCTCTCCCTCTCTCTCTTTTTCATCTCTCTTCCTCTTTCTTCATTTCACTCATTTTAATAATTAATTGATTTAATGTGACAGAATTTACAATAATCCAATTAGCAATTTTTCTAGTTGTTTTAATTTGTAGCATAAATTAAAATGCTAAATTTAAATGTAAGCATTTACATTCATTCAATTTTAATGATTCAAAATAAATAATACTTAGCTAAACGTTGAGAAAAATTTATTTAAGCTTAAAAGTTTTACAAAATAAAAAAGTTTGAAAAAGAATGACAGTAAAATATTCTGATTGTTTTTCAGTGATAATACGATACGTTTATCATTATTATCACATAAATATCAATCATTTCATCAACTAATATTATAATGACTAATGATAGTTAATAATTGAATAATTTTAATTCATAATTCTTTCTCTAAAAATAACAAATTGCTAAAAGTCAAAAATTTATTAATCAAAATTAGCTAATAAATTGGAATAAGCTAATAGAGAAAGAAAGAAAGAAAGAAAGGAAGGATAATTATTGCAGCTATATATTTCAACGAAGTATCAATTTTAAATAAAATATTGGAAATTGAAAAAAGTAATCGTTATCATCTTCGCTACAGCTTTCAATTTCTTCCCAGTAAACTTTAATAAATTTAAATGTTAAATTTTTTGCAAAAAAACAATTTTCTTTTTAGTTAATATAATTAATAAAAAAGGAAGGAAAAATGATTGGAAAGAATTAATTGATTGAGTAAAAATTTATTAGTGAAATTTTAAAATAAATCAATCATACTTAAATACTTAATTAATCATGCTTAATTATTTTATCAGTGTGATGAGTAATGATAATAATAATAATGATGATAATGATAATAGCGATAATGATAATAATGATATGACGGTAATAATAATACAAAAAAAAAAAAAGAAATATATTATTTTTGCTTATCATAATTTTGATATATTTTGATATGATAAGCAAAAAATAATATATTTGTTTTTTTCTAAAGAAAAAGAAGGCATAATAAAATAATAGTAAATTAATTATATAATAATAATTAATTTAAATATATGTATTATACTAATGTATCAAATTTAAGTCAAATTAATAATTTATGTTATACATTTCAATGTAATATTTCAATATATTCATTCCTTTCTTTGTTTTTCCTCATATATTTCATAATTAATTACTATTATTATTAGTTAAATATATGTACTTGTATTAATGTTCTTAAAATATATTAAAATGATTAAAGAGTGAAATATACAAGGATGGAGATTGAAAGGATGAAAAGAGAAAAATAAATATCACTATCATTATCATCATCCATTATCATTGTTCTTACTAATAATATCACTACTATTTCTACTGCTATTACTACTACTACTACTATTACGACCACAACTAATATTGCAACTAAATATCATTATTATTATTATTACTACGAAGACGACGACGAAGACAACGACAACGATCATCACCACCATTATCGCCGCCACCATCATCATCATTATCATCATTATTATCATCAACTACCGTAATCTGAGGAGGAGCGGTAGCAATGCTATCGGTCACGATGTCAGCGGGTTTCATTGGAATGAGATGATGGAAGAGTGGAAAGGAAGGAAGGAAGTAGTAATAGTAATATTATAGAGATAGACATTGAGATGGTCGATAGGGTAATACCAGAGGCGCTTCTCTTATTGCTGGTAGAAATAAATGTATCGTTGGGATATGTGTATATGTATGTGCGTGTGTATTGGATGTATGTGTGTGTGTGTGTGTGTGTGTGTGTGTATCTTTAGGGTGGTGTCCCTAAACGACAGCAGAAATAGACGGACGGGTACGAAGCTATCAATCATTGGGTGCCAATCGACTACCTCCTCATCTCCTCCTCCTCCTCCTCCTCCCTTCTCTTTTCTCTTTCTTCTTTTCTTGAATGGAACCGAACCGAACCGAACCGAATCGAATGGAATTTAAAATTCGATTCAAACCAAAGAAAAAAAACCGAAAAATTCCCACCCCTCTTTTTCACAAAATTTCATTTCTCTATTCTACTCTATTCCATTTTTATTCCACTCCAATCCATTTCTAACTTACTTTTTCTTTTCCAACTCATATTTCAACTAAATATTCAAATTAAGTTGGAAAAAGTTTCACTATCCTTTTAACCTTTAACCTTTCACTAATTTCTTCTCTTCTCAATTTTCCTCATATTTTTCTTTTTTTTTTAGCTGATAAAAGATAATTGAAAGAAAAAGTCGAATAGAATTGGTTGAGAAGAGAAGAAAAGGAAAGTTGATAACGAATACATATATATATATGTATAGATAGATATATAGGATGATGTTTAAGATTAATCATTGTAGGATAAAACGATGAATACATCATTTATAGGTGGTGATAAGAAGTGTGAAAGGAGATGATAGCGGGGGAAAGCGGGGAGGAGGGGGGGAGAAAAAGAACGAATGAAATACGGAATATAAAATATAGGTGAAAGAGGGTTTAGACATTATAATGTTGTCCATATTTCAACTTGTTAAAATTTATTACATGATAATATAATGTTAATGTTAGTGTTAACGAAAATTTATTACATGATAATATAATGTTAATGCTAGTGTTAATTAATTGATCCATGTTAATAAGAATAATAATAATGCTCTAATATAAGTATTGTAATTATTATTGTCATCATCATCATCACTATTATCATTTATCATTGCTAATAAATAGTTTTAGTTATGAGATTGATAATGAGAGGAAAATTTTCCTCCTTTTCATTCTTACTTCTCATTCATTCTTTGATATTTCATTTCTTTAATCTGATGAAGATGAAGAGAGGAAAAAAATCCATGAAAATATCAGATATCGAATACATCATTATCATGTATTTTAATATGTTAACGTATACATACACCTCTTATCTTTTCCTCCATTTCCTTCACTTCATATTCTCCTCCTCCTTCTCTTCCTCACTCACCTCCTTATTATTATCATTATCATCCTTTTCCGTATCCGTTTTTTTCCTGATTTTCATTATCTTTCTTTTGTGATCCTTTTTGGTGGAATAAATTAAAATGTTATTTCACTTAACTATCATATGATTATCACTATTACTTATTCATCTATTTAAATTTTCATTCTTTTAAACTTTTATCACCTCAAAAATATTATTTCTAATTAATACATTGATTAATTACTTAATTAAAAGATTATTATTGATTAAGATTTGAAATCATTTTTCTTTTTCATCTCTCTTCCATCACAATCCATTTCAAAATCAGTCATTTATAAATGAATAAATGAATGATTTACAAATGATAACGAGAAAATATCATGGCAAGCAGAAAAGGCAGAGAGTTAAAGATAAGGTGAGTAGACAATTTATTTGGTTCAAATAGGAACAGGAAAAAGAAATTAAAAACAGATTGATTTGATAGGAATTAAAATGGATCGAAGTAGTAGTAGCAATAACGGGTAGCAATAGCAAAATTTAATTGATAATATTTGAAAAGAATAATAATAATAATAATGATAATGATAAGATAGAGATGATGATAATAATAATAATAATAATAATAATAGAGCGTTGATAATGTTTATCATCATCATCATCATCATCAAAGTAAAGATAGAGAATGAAAGATGATGAAAAAGAGGAAGAGGAAAGAATTGAGATTAATACGATTATCTTCTTTTAATTTTTTATTTCGAAAATTATCAGAGAAAAAAATTTGCAGCGAAATAAAAGGTATTTTGAAGAAAAGAAAAAGAAAAAAATCAAATTATGGAATGAATAAGGCTCTGTTTTTCACATTTTCCCTCACTCTCTATAAACTTATTTTCATTCCCTCTTTTCATTATCTTTTTCCATCGTCTATTTTTCTTTTTTTTTAACTTCAAACGAAAATTTATTTTCCTGAATATTTTTATTTTCAGAGAGTTAAAAAGAAAAACTTGAACCTTTTTCTTCTTCTTCATCCTTCTTCTCATTCTTTTACTTCTTCTTTCTTTCTCTTCCTCCTCCTTCTTTTCTTTTCCTTTTTTCTTTAAACCGAGTTACAGATCGGTTTTCCGGAATTAAATATATGCATATATTAAATGAATATATATAAACATTAGGCGTTCATTTGTCAATATGTATGTAAAGGTGTATGTATGTATGTGTGTGTGTGTATGTGTGTGTGTGTGTGTGTGTGTGTGTGTACGTACATGTCTGTACTATTGTTTGATTCCAAATTAATCTTCTTTTAACATTAAATCAAACTTCAACAATAACAGGAGCACTATCATCAGCAATATGTGCTATATCATCATCATCATCATCATCATCATTACCATCCATGATATCAATTTTCCTTTTCCTTCTCATTCCTCTTCATTCTCAACCTTTCTAGTTTTCTTTTTCAACTGAAATTTGTTAAATCCGTTAAAAATTTTTCTTACTCATCTATGAAATTAGACAACCTTTTATTAATACTGTAAATAGAATTCATATATAGTCTTTTTTTTCATAATTATTCATTGTTTTCAAATTACTCATTTAAATTTGTTAATGAAAAATAAATGATAAAGAAGAATAAAAAATTGATGATTAATTCAAAAGTTTTAAGTTAATATCATCGATAGATATGATAATAAAAGAATGAAAAAAGAGGAAATGAAATGGTTTTTTGTAATAGTAACAGTAATGGTAGTTTTATAGTAATACAATAATAATTATAATAGTTATACAGTAATAATAACTGTAGTAGTAATACAGTAATACATTAATAGTAATTGTAATAGTAAAATCGTAGTAATGATTGTCGTAGTAAAGAAGAGATTTCATAGTATAGTAGGAAGAAAAGATAGGTGAAAAAAGTGTAAAAATAAAAGAGAAGAAAAAGGAATGTTAATCGATCGTTTCCTAATTCCTATTTTCATTTATATTTTAAATTTCAATTTTCATTATTAATTCATCCATTAATTATTAAAGTTTTATAATTTATTTTATTATGATTAACAACAACAGCAACATAAATAATAAATAATAGTAATAATAGTAAACTGTAAATAATAAGTAATAAATAATAAACAACAATAAAAGCAACAAAAAGGTGGAGTGGAAAAAAAGTGGAGTAGGAGAAAAAGGAGGAAGATGAAGAAGAGGAGGAGGAGGAAGAGGAGGAGGAGGAGGAAGAAGATGATGAAGAGGAGGAGGAGGAGGAGGAAGATGATGAAGAAGTAGAAAAAGAAGAATATCGCTGCTGTCGTTTATTTTTCCTTAAATTAGGCGGGATAAGATTGAAAGGGTATGAAAAGATTTCAACTTTAGTTCCACCCCAATCTATCCAATCTCATTTCATCTTATCCTTTTTGTCTTTCTGTTAATATTCCATCCATCCATCCGTCCATCCATCCATCCATCCATCTATCCATCCGTCATCTATCCATCCATCCATCCATCCATCCATCCATCCAACCAACCATTCATCCATCCATCCATCTATCTATCTATCCATCTATTCGTTCATTCATTCATCCAATCATTCATTCATTCATTCATTCGTTCAGTCATTCATTCATTTAATCGTTCATTCATTTAGTTGTTCATTCATTCATTCATTCATTCATTCTCTCAGCCGTCAATTGCAAGCTAAATACATTTGACGGAAGATTAATTTTTCCGTTTCATTTTTCTTAACACCTCGTCGTCTAAAATCAATCCCTCAAATATATCATTTTGTTATTTGTAATTTTGTTGTTAAAAAATTATTAAATTACTACTCTCACATATATACATGTATGTATACGTGTGTACGTGTATACGTATGATATCCAGGATGATATACGTATGCTATCCACAATGATTACGTATGCTAATTCAGGAAATTTTCATTATCATTCTAAGAGCACACATATATATATATATAAATTCTTTTATTCTATCATATGATAAAAAGATATTTCAAAGTTTAGAATATTTCAATTTTTAATTTATCAAAATTTAAGTTTCTCTCTTTCTTTTACACTTCAATCATTATATTGATAATTTTATTGATAGATTGATATTACTAAAATGAGAGAAAAAAATGGTTTAATTTTTTAAAGTAAGCGATATCAGTATGCACACACACACACACACACACACACACACACACATACACACACACACATACATACATACACTCATGCACATAGTCTCACAATTACAGTATCCAGAATAAGAGGAACATATTCATTAAACATCAACTTGACAAATCATAGCAATAGACAATGTAATAATTAATATTATATTGTTATTATTGATTTCAAAAGGAAAATTTAGTAAAAAAGAAAATCGATTTTTTGGGAATATTTTCTCTGATAATTTTAATTCCGAATAAAAGTGATTTTTTCATACTCAATAATTTACAACGAACAATAAAATATTTTTCCTTTTGGTTATCTTTTTGGGATTATCATTTCTTTTTTTATATTGCATATATTTAATTGTTGTTGGTATTTGGTAATTAAATATTTAGTAATTAATATTCAGTAATTAAATTTAGTAATTAAGATATTTGGTAAAGTTAGTAATTGAATATTATTAGCAGTTTTGTTTTCAAAAAAAATTATCAAAAAAGAATAATTATGATATATAGAAAGTTTGAATGAATATTAGAGCAAAACTAGAAAGATAGATAGATTGATTGATGAATGGATAGACAAGTAGATCGATAGATTAGATAGATAGATAAATAGATAGATAGAAACATTTATTATGAGGTGAAAAAGTTGCTTACTGTATCATTGTAATTTATAGTTATGATTATTCATTATAACTATTTGCTGCATTATATTACTATCACTATCAATATCGCTTTTTTTCCTTTTCTTTTTCGCTGATAAATATGAAAGCGAAGAAAAGCTATCATCGGTTTTTATTTGGGTGCAACATATTTAACATGCATCATCGATAATTTATTAGCAGCTGTAAAAGTAATTTAGGAACTTTTTCATTTTCACAGGAGGTGAAGACAAAGAAGGAACGAATTATTACTAACGAAATAAACTGTAATTTGTCATTACTATTATTATTACTGTTATCGCTATTATATTACTATTATTGTTATTATTATTATCATTACTATTATTGCTATTATTATTATTATCGTTCTGCTCAGTTTCACTATTGCTATCGATATTATCTCTATAGTTACTACTACTAATATTATTACTACTATTATTATTGTTATACTATTATCATCATCATCATCATCAACAACATCAACATTGGCAGCAAGAGCTGCATTATTAGCAGTATCGCGGAAGCCCCATACATATGTCACAACGGGTCCGTCTTCTATAATTTTTTTCCTTTTGTTTTTACAAACTTAAAGTTAATCATTTTTTCTCTAATACACCTCATTAATTTTTTCAATTCTTTTTTTTTTTAAATTATATCACTTCAAAGTGTCATTTTCCATCACTGCTGTGATGGCATGATGGTTAACAGGAAGATCTTTCAATTCTTGACACATTTATTTATTGAACTATCATACTTTATACATTTATGTTGACACTATTAACAAATAATACAGTATTAACTTAGGAAAGTTTACTGTTGTTCATATATATATAAGTATAATATAATTGCAAAAATTTTTATACATATAGGTATATACTTTATATACGTATGCATTGGCATATTCTGTATATACTATATATACATACAGTATATAGGGGTGTACATGCATTACTGTGTATGTACAGTATATACGTGAGTTACTGTATGTATTTTTACGTATATTATCACTTTTTTGGCTTATTATATATATTAAGAATTCTTTTTTAAATACTGTTTCAATTTTTCTTCTGTAACCTTTTTAAATTTCTCATTTTCTAATGGGATCATCTTTTTCTTTTTCATCACTCTTTTCCTTTAAAATTCTTTGTCAATAAATGAAAGAAATGGGTTTGAATTTTTTATGATGAATTTAACTTTAAATTACAGTTAGGGAATATTATTCAAAATGTACTTTAGCGAATTCACAATTTTACTCCATATATATATATATATATATATAGTTAATATATATATACATTTTATATACATATATATACTGTATCAACTTCATGGACATTCCTATTACAGCATTTCTTCATCTATTTTTTATAATTAACATATTTTAATGAAGCCATCTTTTTTATCACAAATTAGTCTTTAAAATTATTTGTTAACAAATATAAAAAATAGGAATAATTTTGCTTTGAAAATTTATCATTAAATCGTATATGACTATTACTTATTCCTATAAATAACAAATATTTATTATAATATTAATTCATTTGCAAAATATTAATTATTAAACAATAAATGTTTTATTATTTACAATTTTTAAACAACAAAATATATTTCGTCAACTCTTAATTTTATTTATAATTTTTTAAATAATTAAATAAATAGAAGAGAAAAAGAAATGAATAACAAAATGAAGAAAAATAGCAATTCATTTTTTTCCTTTTAACTATTATTATTACTATTATTATTATTATTATATGTATTTAACCGATAAAAGTTGTCGTCGAAAATGAGCGGATGGAACAATTTTTTCGATAATTTTCTTTCGATAAATATAATAACGCTTGCACCATTATTATATTCCATTTTAATTCATTCCAAATCGATATATCATATATTTATATATATATATATATATATCTGATATGAATAGCGTAACTTTAATAGTTTTTCCTTTTTCGCAATTTATTTCCTCAAAATATTTCATAAATTCTTTTTTTTAAAATTTCATATTTATAACAAAAAGTTTTTTTGTAAGAAAAATTAAATATAATTTTTTAATTATGGTAATTTTCTCATTAATATAATGATTTGGTTTTTTGTTTTTTTTGCTATTAATTTATACATTTCTTATTGAAATTATTTAAGTCTTTTGATTTGATTGAATTGAAATTATTTAAGTCTTTTGATTTGATCGAATTGAAATTATTTAAATCTTTCGATATGATTGAATTGAAATTATTTAAGTCGTTTGATTTGATCGAATTGAAATTATTTAAATCTTTCGATATGATTGAATTGAAATTATTTAAGTCGTTTGATTTGATCGAATTGAAATTATTTAAATCTTTCGATATGATTGAATTGAAATTATTTAAGTCGTTTGATTTGATCGAATTGAAATTATTTAAATCTTTCGATATGATTGAATTGAAATTATTTAAGTCGTTTGATTTGATCGAATTGAAATTATTTAAATCTTTCGATATGATTCTATATTACCGTAATATTGGCATATAAATGAAGTAATCAAAAAAAAAAGAATGAAAAATAAAACTCGATTCATTTTTCACTCCTTCCACCTCTTTTCTCTCTCTCTCTCTCTC